CCTATGATATACCTGTTTGAAGAAGTTCAACAACAATCCTCCACCGGAGATATTTATGTCCAAAACTATGGTTGTGAATATAGATTCAGATAACTATACAAGCACAATTTTATTTTTATTTGCCATATGCGTGTTCACGATTATCTGTGTTTCAACTACATCCTATCTCATCTGGAGTTTGAAACGTCGTGCTGCTTCTACAGAATCAGTCAAAGCATCGGAAGACCAACGCAAACTCACAATTAATATTCTGAAACTAGTGCGGTCTTCTATGTTAAACAAGTTATGTACGATACTTACTTCAGACATTCTTCCAATTATCTGGCATCAGCTTTCCTCCTTTAGTACTTCTGTTTTGTGCTATCAATTCTGTCTCTTCGACAAGTTTGTATGCTTACTCCTTCATGGTTCATAATAGGTTCCAGTCCTGCCTATGATAGTTACTGTCCTGTTGAGCATCAATCCCTTGATATCATGCATCATAATGCTCAGACTCGTCCCTGCTTATAAAAAACGTTTGAGCACAATGTGTTCCTCAGGTAATCATGAAATGTATCTCATTACTATCATTGACTGTTTAGTTTTCCCCATGAAGCTCATCAAGCAGATAAGCCATTTGAAAACTCCAACAGACAATTCGTTCCGCAGCAGCTAAGATCTACTGCCTGATTGAGGAGCTCCTGAGGCTCTAGAACACACGAAACCTCCAGGAACGGTAGAGGAAGGCATCATGTTTGAAGTTTCAAGAGGAGATGAGAATTATGTGATTATTCACTTCCTACCTATTCTTGTGAATAACTAGCCTCCACTAGTACAGATTATTTTGCTGACAAAGAGTTTTCCTCGTGGGAACCTCGAACTCTCCCCCCTCCCACTCCCTCCTTCTACTTTCTTTTCTCTCAATTTATTAATGACGTTTTAACATGAAATAAAAATAAAAGTGTTCGAAAATCATTGATAACACTGCTGTTTGTCAGATTCAGGATGTNCACTGCTGTTTGTCAGATTCAGGATGTTCTTATTGCCAAAAGGGTCATCAACTACCCTTCTCCTGCCTCATCACAAGATCAATCCATAAAAAGAAACAAAAATAACACAGAGGATGTGACAAACAAAAAAACTGTTCGATACCTGGGATTCCTGGATGGAGGATTTCCATGTGTAAACTACGATACTATGACACTACTTCGATCAATGGTTGATCTCACAGTCAACAGGGGATGACAAATATGGACATATAGA